CCCAACGTATGCCGGCTGCAGACCCGCGTGCGCACCTAAGGGGAGCATATGCGCCGCCGCTGGCTGGTGCAGCTCCCTGCCCGTGGTGCTGACCTCCTGCCGGCCACTGACCGTCTGCTGCAACGTTACCAGCTGCCTCTGAATGCCCCCGGGTAGGTCTATGACGATGGGGGGGTTCGTTGCCGCAATGTCCTACAAAAATAAACCCAGACATTAGTGAAGGCTATGCATGGTGTAATGTACTCCACCGGCGCACGTATGGGCCACTCCACAGCATTTGCTCCACGCAGGATGTGTGAAACAGGGGGGTATATCTTCAGCCGTGGCAGCTACCCTGCGAAACCCTCCCTCCCCCGGTATTTCGGGGCACCCTCATCTTGTCACCGTAGTCAACTTCTCAATGGGTTGCTCAGGTTCCGCACCCAACACCAGCATCCAACGGAATCTGCCGGGTCGACAGCGGCACAACTCCATTCTTGGTCGGCTCGCAGGTTAACTTTATCTCAGGCAGGATGGAAGGATGTACGGCACGACCACCCTACACATATGTCACATGGTTCACAATGTTACAGTTGAAAAATACTTTAAAGTTGGAATGGCTATGCTTACCTGCTGCGTCTTTTCACCACGAAGGTTGCATGGCACCGCAGGGCCCGACGCCTGGCAGCTTTGCGGGGCGACCAATGTCACTCGTGTGCATAATACGCGCGTCGTTCGCGCGCCGCCCGATGCAGAAGTGCAGTAGGAGGATGGTAACCTGCACGAGGGCCACCTGAACCAAGCTCCACTTGAGCTTACTCGACGCGCTGCCCGTGTCCGCCATGAAGCTGCAGAGCCTGGAGAAGTCCTCTGGCAAATTGGGGGAGTAATGTCTTCTCCCAAGGACGTAACGCCATCCACCATGAAACCAAGGAAAAGTAGGTTGAAGTAAGCTTACTGAGGCGGCTCCTCTACTGCATGCTCCACTGCATCCTCGAGCTCCTGCCCCGCAGTCGCCACCCATACGAGATTGCCGCCATGGAGCGCGTTGTAATACATCTGCTCCATTGCGCGCAACTATATGATAACTACGTTGGGAATGTGAGCTATACAAAAGCCTTATAATTTTAGAGCTGGGCAACAGGCGTCATGGAATGGTTTGAGCAGACGGTTGATGGAATGGGAGGCGTGATGGAGCTCGTCCACTCATGCCGATGAAATTAAGATGTCCGTCAGAAATGACAATTTAACTGTATTGCGAAAAAAATGCAAAATTCATTTGGTGTCAAGTGAATATGCCTTGGTACATGGTCGGACTGGAAGCTGGTTAATGGGAATCGGCCACCAGTCCGGCGATGATGCCGGAATTGTCATCGATGCGGGCATCATAGATGCGGGCGGGTAATGTTTTGCAGTTCGTTATATATTCCCCATATAAACCCCATATATATATTCCCCATATAATCATCGGTTAATTATTTAGCCCAATTATCATCAGTTTCCGTTTAAAAGCATGCTAGTGTAGGTTCGCAACCAGGTTCTGGAGCTAGTAGTACGGTGAATAAGCGTAAACTCGAATTACCAATTACTTGCGATCCCCGAAACCATTTTGTGGCCTTTTTACTACATAATGAGCATCAAGACATATTATTCTGTCATCATTAATTAGCTGGCTCTTGAGTGTTGAATACTCTCCCTTGCGATAGTGACATCGCCGTTACAGTTTAAGCTACGCCGTTCCGTCTTCAAGATGCCAACAGCCGAGCCATATCACACGAAAGGCGGTGTGCAGAAGAAACCGTCTTATGGCATGAGCTTCAAGTATATGCTAGGTGCACGTGGGGAAACAGGCTTTGGCTCAGCAAGCACTGCCGAAGCGGTATGTTCAAGATGTTTTCTCTTTTGTCCTGCATTTCAACAGTTAACAATTTTGTTCACAAATCGTAATCATGAAAGCAGGACTTGTCCAGAAGTGAGCTTGTTGCACTGCCTTGCTTGCCATAACAACCCGCAGGTATGCTCCAATTGGGACGGAAAGGGCTGTGTGGCCCTGGTCACAGGTGCAGCAGCGGGTTTGGGCTACGAGAGCGCCCGCGTGCTAGCTCAACGGGGAGCCCATGTGGTTGTGGCGGTTAGGTCGCAGGTGAGTGCTTCCCAGGCGGCTCTGCCTCCGGTGTGGGGAGGCACTGCACCCGCCACATACACATACATAGGTACATACATAGGTACATTGATCATCGTCCATGCGGGACTTGAGTGTTTTTACTGAAGCACCATCCCCGGACGGAGGCGCTGCTGAGTGGCTGCGTCGCGTTTTGGCAGAGCCTGGGTCGGGGTCGGGAGCACACAAGACTAGCCGCAGCTTGTGCTGCGTGGTCCGACCTTTGCGCTGTGCTTCGGCTCGTTCCCCGTCTTTTGCGGCCCACAGCGTAATCTAAATCATACATACATACATACTAAAACCCTAAAACCCTAAATACATACGTACATATTTCCTCAGCAGCGTTCGCACTGCCTGTTGCTCGGCCTCCACCACCCCCTCCCCAGGTTCGGGCCGAAGCCACTGCGACCCGGCTGCGTACGGACGTACCCGGCGCCAAGGTAACCCCCCTGGAGCTGGATCTGTCCTCCCTCGCGTCTGTACGGAGCGCGGTGGATGCCTTCAAGGCCACGGGGCTGCCGCTAAACATCTTGTTGTTGAACGCAGGTGGGTGGTGGGTTGGGGATGGTACGGGGGGAGTTGGGGGCCCGGGGAGTGAAGATGTGGGGCAGATGCTGGAGGACAGATAATTGCGAGTGGGTGTTGATTAGAGGGGAGGGGGTATTGAAAATGGGGTGATGGGGTTTAGGGGGAATACACACATGCAACATGCAAAAGTTTCCCAACTGCCGACCAACAACACGTCCCTCACCTCTCCCCATCATGACACATACACATACAGACGCACACACACGCGCGCGCACCCACTCCCACACCGACTCGTCTCCCTCTTTCCCACTCCCCCCTCCGGGGCCCTCCGGGCCCCCCCACCCCCCCCACACACACCCCTGCCGACCCAGGCATCATGGCCTGCCCGGCCTTCGCGAACTCCAAGGATGGCTTCGAGCTGCAGTGGGCCACCAACCACCTGGGGCACTTCGCCCTCACGCAGGGGCTGCTGGAGGTGATGCTGACGTCGGCTTCTGGCAGCGGCAGGGAGGGTCGGGTGGTGGTGCTGTCGTCCATGGGACATCATTTGTTTGAAGTGCCAGGAGGCATCAAGTGAGTGAGTGAGTGAGTGAGTGAGTGGGAAGAGGTCCGGAGTGCGGTCGGAGAGCGGTGGGGCGGGGGCCGGGCGGGAGAGAGACCGGTGGGGTGACCTGGGGCCGGGGCCCCGCCTGCACCTACCTGTCTAGGGCACCCCCCAGTGTGCACCTAGTGCCTAGCCTGTCTGCCGCATGTGAGTGTGTGCGTGTGTATGTATGTTATCAGGGAGCACCGCCACCCGCATATGGAAAACCGCATGCGATTAGTGAAAACAAGGTTTATATATATATGTATGTATATTGTACGTATATTGTATGTATGTAACGCGAACACGGTATAGATTCATATCTAATATGTGCCCTTTCTTATCTGGGCGGCTGATGCGGTGGATGGGTTTGCGGTCTTCCCAGTTTTGATGCTCTCCGCAGCGGTGCGGATTACTCGCCATTCAAGGCGTACGGCGTTAGTAAGCTCTGCAACATCCTCTTCACGCGGGAGCTACAGCGCCAACTGGCGGGTAGGTGGTTAGAGCGGTTGATCACGATCCTGGTGCTTGTATCCCCAGATGGCTCCCTCCTCCCCCCTCCTTCCCCCCAGTCACGGCACGTGTTTTGGCGTCGTGGTGGTGGTGGTGGTGGTGGTGGTGGCTGCTAAAAGCACGGAGGGGTGTTTGAGTTGGCAGTGCAGCAATCTATCTGTGTTGGTGTTACGGCTTAAGGAGAGGGGGGAGCTGAGACGCCACCCCACCACGACAATAACTGAAGCAGGGCTTGTGTGATCAGTGCGTGTGTGTGTGCGTGTGTGTGCGTGTATGTATGTGTGTGCGCGCGCGTGTGTGTGTGTGTGTGTCATCAGCTATCCAATGGCCGCGATAGTGGTGGGGTTTCGCAGCCGCGCACTACCGCTTCTCCCCCTCCTTACCCTTCTCTCCCACCTCACTTATCTGCAGGTAAGCCGGTTGTGGCCGTGTGCTGCCACCCGGGAGTGATCTTTGACACCGAGCTCAAGCGACATATGGTCGGGATTGACGGCGGGGGCGCCGGCGAGGGCAGGAGTGGCGGCGGTGGCGGCCGCTGCACGGGTTTCCGTACTGCGGCCGTATCGCTCCAATTCCTGTTGTTCAAGCCACTCGCCAAGACGATCGCGCAGGGGGCTGCTACCCAGGTGCGGTAGGGGGGTGGGGAGTGGGGTGGGGTGGGCGGCTGTTGCTGCTGCTGCTGCTGCTGAGGGGGAGAGGTGGACGAGGGTGGTAATGCGCCTGAGCCTCAGCGGCCCCCGCCTGCTGCAAGCTCTCTTACCGGGTGATCCCCGGTGCCCTATTCCCCAGAGCACCTGGTGCTTCACGCGCATCCACGTGAGACACGTTACCTCTGTGCGTGACATATGCACGTATGCGTGTATGTATGTATGTGCTTGTCTGAGTACTTGTGTATGTGCCCTGACTGACATACACACGTACATACACATACACACATCGTCACCACCGCCACCCGGGCTGCAGATGCTGCTGGCTACGGCACCGAATGTCGTACCAGGAGAGTACTACAGTGACTGCAACTTGGCGCCGTCATCTCCAGCCTCCCACGACGGGGAGCTTGGGGCCCGGCTGTGGGCTTTCAGCGTGGAGGCGGTGAGGAAGGAGGCGGAAGAGGCGGTGAAGCGGCCTGCCTGAGCGCGTGTGTGTTTTGGATAGGGCTTGGAAGGTGCGCGGGGTGTGTGTGTGTGTGTGTGTCATCTCGGAGGCATTTTGAATTGGCGGGTGGTGGATTTGAAGCGTGGACGAGAGGCAGAGCGGCGTACTGTGTTTTTTGGGCGGAGATAAGCTGTAGGATGGTTGAATATCTATTTTATTCATAAAATAAGTGGCATCTTGACGTTGTTGCGTGATGATCACCCTCCTCCTCCTCTCCCTCTTTGGGCCATCTTTGTTTAGTACTAATTGTTATCATTATTATTATTATTGGGAGTGGTGATGCTGCTATTGCTGCTTGAATTTTCTATACTGACGTGTCATCTGTAAATTCTGTTGTTGATTAGTATTGCTATCGTTGTTTTTGCCCCGCTGCTGGTGGACCTGCAGCCTGCAGTGGTGGCACTCTGAAGGTTCTGTTGACTGAGACCTGCATTGGCATTAGGAGGGGATTGTTTTGCACACCACTACTGTCGTACATGACCTCTAGGAGCGTTGGTTTACCTTTTGGATGCTCCGAGCTGTTCAGTGATCCGAACAATCCCCACTTGATGTGTGTGTGGGGGGGGCTTTGTGGTTGCCGCACTGATGATGTGTTTAACTGCAACCCCTGCTCCAATAGGACACTCCTGACCTTGTTCGTACCTTGTTCACATGATTCTCCGACGGTCCCTCTTCCCCCCCAGAGGTCAAAGGCTTTTAATCGTCACATCACTTCTCACTCCTCTACCCTGTGTCGACCGTGGCGTTCAGCCACCATTAACATCATCATCATCATCATCATCATCAGACTTAGCTCCTTCCTAGTCCATGGCCATGCACCGTACTGTACTACGATGTATTGTGCTTGCTGCACTCAACCGCAATCCTGTAGTTCCCAACCCTCCTCACTCGCGTACTACCAAAATGGGTTGCAACCTCTCTCTCACTCAACACATGCGCACACACAGCCTCACGACCAACATTGCCAGCAGAGCAATAGGCGCCAGGTGGCGGGGATCTAGGCACCCACACGCACCACCTGCGCTCCACCTTCTCCCGCCTACGAGCAGCTGACCCCCAACTGAAGTGCAACTGCAACTAAGTCCCCCGTTCCTCAGACCTTCCTGGGGCCTTGTTACATGAACATGAATGGACCCCCCAACGTTGTACGATGGATTTGAAATTTTGGAGTAATGAAGCGAACAGATCTCAACATCGGTTGCGGTTGCGGTCGTGTGGTGGAAGCCAAATCCGCCGCCCCCTCGCTCGGCCCCCCTCGCGTCGAGGGTTGCTGTGCGAGGTCTTCATTGCGGGCGCCGGGAAGCCCCCCGGGGATTATTGTGCGTACCCGTGAGGGTGTTTGACGCGCCACTGCCAGGCGTGTCGCAGCCCCTCCTCTATGTCCGTGTAGTTGGCCCTGAGGGGGCGTGAGTGTGAGCGTGTGTGTATGTATGTGGTGGGGGCGGGGAGCTGAGGAGAACTGGGAGGAGTGAGGGGTGGATGCTGGGTATGTGTTTGGGGAGTCGGGGGAAACTTTGGGGGCGGGGAACGGAGGCGAGGGAAAAGGCGCGGGCGCAATGGCCAGTCAGAAAAGAAAGGTAGGGTCCCCTCCTGCGGTAAGGAAAGGCTTGTGCCTGAGGCGGCAATGCCAGCGCGGGGAAATGCAACAGCAGCAACACGCGGCCGCGGCGGCGGCAGCAGCAACATCAGGAGCAACACCAAGCCAGCCTCTCTTCATCCTTTCCAATCCCCCCCCGCCCCCACACACACCCACGTCCCCGCACCTCCAGCCCAGCTCCCGGTTGATCTTGGACACATCCGACCAGACGGCTGCGTAGTCCCCGGGCCGAGCCTCCTCCTGATAGACCACCTGCGGAGGGGGGGGTGATTGGGGTGTCCGTCGTCCAGCATGCCAGGGTTTGGGGGTCCGGGGGGAGGGGGGAAGGAAAGAGTGGTGGACCCCGGGTGGGGGAGGAAGTCGAGGGGAGGGGAGTATGGGCTGTAGAGCGGTCGAGCTGGTCTTGGGGTTACAGATCCCGAAATCACTTACCCCCCGGCGGCCGGGAGCGGACACGAATGGTCAGCTGCGGCTGCTGCTGCTCCTTCAATGATATGCAGTATATACACATACATACACAAACATCTACACAACCCCGCGCACCCATCCAACTGCCCGTCAGCACGGATACGCCCTGATGCGCCAGACCCCGTCTTCCCACCAGGCTTACTCAGCCCTCTGCCGTACACCGTACTGGAATTTTATTTCTCTCCAGCCGCTGGAGAGCCTACCGTAATGTCGCGCTGCGTCACCCGGCGGCATGCTTCCACAAACTGTTTGACCGACACGCCCTTCCCCGTGCCGATGTTGTAGAGCGGGGGTGGGTTAGCCAGGTGCCGCATTGCCACCTCGTGCGCCGAGATCAGGTCCATTACATGGATGTAATCGCGCACACCTGTACGGCACCATTTACAGCACACAGGGGAGGTGTAACATACACAAAACCACATACATATTTGCATACATACATACATACATACACACACTATAAACTGCTGCGTAGCATATGCTGCGTAGCATATGCTGCGTAGCAGCAGTTGCAGCATATGGACACGTCCGTACACCCGTACGGCTCTCACATGTTCCATCCTCAGTCGGATGCCGGGTGCCCTTCACCGTCAGGTGTCCCACCAGCCCCAGAGCGGCATCCATGCAGGCGCCGCTGATACGGGACTGGCTCCGGAGCTCGGGACGCGGGTACTCGCCTTTGACCGGGGGGGGGGGGGGAGGGGGCCCAGGGGAGAGAGGGCGGGCTGTGTATGTCCGTATATCTGTATTTGTATGGGGGAGCATTTGGAGAAGCCGAATGGAGCACAGCACTGCGCTGCGCAGTCGGCACGTCCCAAGCAGTAGCAGTAGCAGCTGCAGCCGCAGCTGCCGGAGCTCCAAGGGGAACGGGTAGTTGTGTAAAGTGTGATTGTATCTGGTATGTATGTAAGTGCTACCACAGCAATATCTTTCGCCATATAGCTGAGAGCGCATTAGGGGGTGTGTAGGGCGAGGAGGTGGGAGGGTTGGGTAGGGTGGGTTGGGGCGGGGAGGTGAGACGCCGCCACTCCTGGGGGTGCATGCGGGAGACAGCGTGCCGTGTGTTTTTCCCCATGACTCACTCACTCACTCACTCGCTCACTCACCCAATCGGCCGAGCGGGTCGCTGCCGTACACATTGAAGTACCGCAGGATGATGGCCTTGAAGTCGGGCTGGGCGCGGGCGAACCACCGGATGACCTTCGCGGGTGCGGAAAACATATATAGATAAAGCTTCGGCGGGCAGCGGATAGGGGCTGCGTTGTTCCCTTTTCCTTCGCGCTTTTCTTAGTTGCCGTACATTACGAGTGGTACGTGCCGTACCTCCTCCGCCATGAGCTTGGACTGGCCGTACGGGTTGATGGGCACGGGCGGCGTCTGCTCCGTAACAGGCAGCTTCTCCGGGTTGCCGTACACCGCGCAGGTGCTTGAATAGACGAGCTGCCGTACAAGGTTCCGGATAGACAGGATTGGATTTCAACAGTTCGTTAGTACAGCCACCGTTGGTGGTTGACTGCGGCGCCGGAGGCCCCGGCCCAGCCATTGCCTCACCTTTTTAATTCCGTTGGCCGCCATGCAGTCCAATAAGTTAACGGTATTAACAGTAACGTTCTTGTAGTACTGCAGCGGGTCCCTCATGGACTCGCCTGCCGTTTGGTTGTCCCATTTTGGGGGGCATCAACGGTTACCGGCAACATACATACATACATACATACATACATACATACATACATACATACATACATACATACATACATACATACATACATACATACATAAGCATGTAGAAACACACGCATATACAGAAGCTTTGAGTGATTTTTTCGTTTACTGGCCAATTCAGTCAGACGCCTGTAATAGATCCAGGCAGATGTCGTACTGACATGCCGTACCGGCTAAAAAATAAACACCTCACAGGCCGCAGGGGATTCCATTAGGAGAGGGGGGAGGAGGCGTGACGGAGGGGTTACGAAGTACCCCCATTCCCCCCCACTCCCCCATTACTCCCCCACCCCTTACCCACCCACGTACGCCACCGCCGCGAAGTGCATCACCAGGTCCAGGGGGGGGCTTGAGGTGGCCAGGGCCGAACACAAGGTGGCTCGATCCCCCAGGTCTACACGCAGGAAGCTGCGGCGAAGGGGGGAAGGAAGGCGAGGAGAGGGGGGGGAAATAGGGTCTCTTCTTGTTCGACTGTGGATCAACAACATATTATCAGTTGGGTATTTCAATCCCACCATCTTTGCGTTTCCCCCTCCCCTCCCTTCCCCTCCCCCTCCGGAGCACCCCGGGGCATATTCAAACATACATACATACATGCATACATACATACATGCATACACACACGCACAGCCCCCAAAGGACCTCACCGGAATCTACGAGCTGGAATCATATCCTGTTGGGGATGAGTGTGTGCATGGGTAACGTATGCATGTACGTATGTATGTATACGTGCACGTGTATGTGTGCACCGGTTTGGGGGAAAGTGGGGAGGGGGGGACGGGGGGAAGGGGAAATGAACAAAAAAAGGGAGTACGGCAAGTCTTTGGGAGGGCCCCGCTCAGAAGCCTCAGAAAGGAAGCACACATGGCACATACGGTACGAACATGCATGTTGTTGCTCTGGACAATATTGATGTTTTGCCTTCTTGCCTCGCCATCATCATCATCATCATCTCCCCCCCCCACCCCCTTCGGCAGCCTCCACTTCCCACTCACCCTCAGCGCCCTAAGCGCCCCCGCGTTACCCCGGGACAAGTTGTCGAGCACCGTGACCGCGTGACCCGCCCCCGCGAGAACCATCACGGCATGAGAACCGATAAAACCTGGGGGACCGGTCAGGACGGAACGTGAAGAGCCGTGAGGGGATAGACACGCACGGGGGGTTTCGGAGGGAAGGAAGGGGTAGGAGGGGGGAAGTTGGGGTTTCATAAGGGAATGAAACCCGAACACCCCGGTTGGGGTTCTAGGGTTTTAGGGTTTTAGGGTTTCCTCAGTGGGTTCCCCTGGATGGGCGGCTCCCCATAATCTTCGGAGCCGGACGGCTCGGCCCTTTATGAGCTGTTTGAATGCCTTGTTCTTTGTAATACTTTCTCGTACACGTCCTCCTCTCCTGCTAGAGGGGCACCCTAATCCATTCACCCCATCCGACTTTAGCGTGTACTCTTTGAGTTTGGCAACTCACCACCAGCATCCAACCAAATCTAGCGGATCAACGGCGCATCAACTTAGTTCCTGGTCAGCTCGCAAGTTGATTTTGTCACGTCCTACACCGTCCATAAGATGGGGGGCCACCTCCCATTTCACCACCTCTCAAACGCCCGAGAGGCCGGCAGGCGGATTTGAACCCGGACTTGTGGTTTGTAATACTTTCTCGTACACGTCTAGACGAGAGGAGAGGAACGGACACGTGAATAAGGTTTTTACGGTTGTGTGTCCGGTGCCATGGGGGCTGTGTGGGGGGATTTCAGTTAGGGCGCCCAGTTAGGGCTGTCAAACGGTTAGCTAGCTGCTTCTGGCCAGCGTCATATGTTTCTCTGTCAGACATAATCTAATACACATACAGGCAAATACACAAACACGTACATGAACACACACACGCACGTACCCGCTCCCCCCGTAACCAGAATGTGCAGGCCGGACCCCGCCTCCGGATGTAGCAGCCCCCGGGGGTTGATGTCGGGCTCGGGGACTGTTCGGGAGTTGCGGGAGAAGTGGATGTACCAGATCACGAAGCTGCAATGGAGGGAGTGGAGGGGGTGGGGACCGGGAGGGGTTTGGAGGGAGTGGAAGGGGGGTCGGGGGGGGGTATTGCGCGGCACTGGTTTAGGGCGGTAGAGTGGGGCCCGGTTCGGAGGGGTGAGCGGTACGCGGGTCGAGCGGGGGCCTGGCACTGCTGCCCCCCCTGAGGTCCGGGAGATGCCTCGTGTCCCGCTTAGTTCCCTTCCTCTTGTTGCTCCTAGTGCAGCTGCTACTGCTGAGGTGCGTTACTGCTGCTGCTGCTGCTGCTGCCGTCATGTGCTGCAGCGGCCTCAACGCTGGTGGCTCTGCATGGAGGAGCTCGTGTTCTTGCCGTGACTACGTGGCCTGTGCGCGTGTCTGTCTGTCTGCATGTTTGTCAGTCTGCATGTATGTGTGTTGAGTTGGTCCAATATTACTAAGATAGTTTGGGAGTGTGCGTGTGTTGAATGTAGGACAAGACAAGACGAGTCGACATAGGAGGTACACACGTACACAGGACGTGGACCCGGGCTGTAGTTGCAGTAGCAACAACAGTAGCAGAAGCAACAGTAACAACAAGAGCAGCAGCGGCAGCAGCAGCGGCAGCAGTAGCAGCAACCAGGGAACCGCATGCGCAGTGGTGGTGCTGGGAAGGGGAGGGGGCCAGGGGAGTGGGGGAAGGGTTATAATGTGTGGCTGTGTGGCTGTGTGTGGGGAGGAACGGAGTATCCAGGGATTGGGCGGCTGCGGGAGGAGCGTTTTCGGGCTGTGGGCATCACCCGGGGCGCCGTGTGAGCGTCATCCTGCCTTACTACTGCTTGGGCGGACATGCGATGGAGGCCTTGCCTGGCGATAAGCGCGAACAACAGGTACCGAATCGGCTGACGCCGCAAGCGGTCTGCCATATCTGCAGCTGGTTCTCGTGGGCTTGTTGGCAAGGTTTGCTGCAGTGGAGTCAAGGATTACTATCCAAAGTTATCGGTGATATTGATAATAATACGGTTTGATTTGTACGTTTTTGTATTTCAAATGCGTAAGCAGAGGAATTTCCCAGTTGACGTTTATGAGTACTCTACTCTTTTGGGAAGACATAGATGCGCAAGGTTTGAAACTTTATACCTTGCTACATGTACTGCATACATGTTATGAAGGGAGTCCTAGCTATTAGTTGGCAAAGGGACTTGTCAAGTTGAGCTTGACCTGACCCTGGGGATGTGAATCCACAAAGGCACTCTAAATACCGTTCCAAAGTATTCACATGTATCATTCCGATGCACGGTTTGGATTATCGACGCCTTCTGTACGCCTCAATTGCGGTTATGTACGATTGCAAGGGTCGTCTGAAGGCTGGACTTCCCTTGCAAACGTAACTACTCTAGCAAAATGAATAGCAGGGTGGAAGCTAGATCAAGTTCTTACAGGCATCATCTTGCTGATCGCACTGAATACATCTCTTTGCTTGGGAAACTGGTATAATTTTAATGGATGGGATTACTGACGCAAATAAACCCTAAAACCATTACCCTAAGCTAACATCAATTTGATGTATGCGGGCATTGGACTGCAGCGTGCCGTACGCAACACCTTTTCCCCCTGTTTCCAGCCTACCTCAGCAACGGAGGACGAAATATGGACAACATGCCATAAATGTGTTGCTTATATTTTTTGCTTACAAGTTAAAGCAGTCATGGTCCAATGTACGATATACGTTTCGCCTCCAAAACAAGCATGCATGTAAACAAGCTTGTAAACACCGGTCTCGACATCCGGAATCGCCAAGCAATACAAGCCAAACGCAAGCTGACACCTGCACTGTTCCCCACCTCCAAGAGCCCGCACTATCCGCACTATCCACGAGACCGCAACCCTAGCTTCAACATCACCATAGACGCCGCATAAAGAACGGGAAGGCGGATGGGACAGTCCTTGGATGACCAGGACTTCCTTGCGATTCCGAATCGGAGGGTCCTCATCAGCCTGCTTGCCTCTTTTGGCTGCCTAGACAGCCAGGCGAAACCACAAATCCTTGCTTGCATTCGCACACTGCAATGCCGTACGCGACTATGCAGTACCGTGCCTACGGTAGCACATGCAACACAGCACCGCAGAAGCCATTTTGCGCCAGGAGCCCCCAAACCACTTGCTTTATTCCGCAAGAAGAACCAACGCCACCAACCAGGCACCCTCGACGAACGACGAACACAAAAGAACGCATCTGAAACTTTTAATCTATCGAGCTACGTTGCTGATCGAATGAATGCCTCGCAAAAGCGGCGTGACGGCGTACTGCGGTGTTCATTTTCACACAGAGCTCGCCGCGCCCGCCGCCCTGCCCGCGACAACCTGCTACACATCCCCTCCTGCCCTCTTAGCCGCCACTTAAATAAACCCTCATTTGTTGCAAAACGAGGAATCAAGGTAAGAAGCAAAGTCAACCAAAAAATACATTTACATATGTAGCCAAGGCCACCCCGAGATAAACCGTCCAAGAGTCAGCCAGCAGCAGCAGCAGCAGCAGCAGTAGCAGCAGCAGCAGGACCCACGTCCCCCGTTACACTGCAGCGGCATGGGCGCCGGTGGACTCGCTCTCTACGTTCTCTATGTGAGTCCGCTGATTACCAGCGATAGATATGAGCTTATGAGGCTGCTGCCATTCCATCCACGATTGGTTGTGCCAGGCGCATGCATGGACATGTACAGGGGCAGCAGGATAATGCCGCACTTCCTGTGCTATCTCGACCTTGCTTGCACAACCCGGGGTGTGTGCGACCAACGCAACTCATGGCAAAAGTGATGGTGAGGATAAGGATGCGAACAACCGTTAATATTGGTCTTTAATGTGGTGTTGGTATGGGTAACTAAAATAAGATGTCTCGCAGCTAATCAAGCGAGCGCCCAGCTCCGCGCAGCACAGGGCTGCACGAGGCCCCGAACTCCTATAGGTGCCCATTCACTTGCACTACCCGGCTTTCCACAGCAGCACAAAACCTTGTGAGCTTAAGCCGAGCCAATGTATCAATCCATCCGCCTTCTTGTGCTAGCTTAAGCAGCTAAAGACCCGGCAATTGCACGTGTTCTGAGTAATCGCGTGAACACGAAGCTAGAACTATTTCTCTCCTCCTGTGCCCTCAGACGTGTCATGTGCGCTATCTATGTCTCACGGAGTCCACGTTTCCACCAGTTTTGTTTCCCCGCCTAAATCGGGCTACAAACAATAAAGAAGCAGTAACAGCAGCAAGGCATTGCGCCAACAGCAGCAGCAGCAGCAGCAGCAGCAGCAACAACAACAGCAGCAGCATGAGGTTCATTCCAGCGCTTTCAAGGGTGGCGCACAAGATGAAATATACACATCTGATCGAGTGCATACAGACATACACCTACATAACCAGCCTGCTCGTCATCGCTCTCCACTCGCGCAAGAATGTCGTACCTCTCAAATCCGTACTCGTACATGAACGGTACTCTACCGCTACGACAAAACGCATTTACTCCATTACGCATAATTAATGTTTGTCGCTTCGACTGGATGAAATGTCCCCTTTCTTTGCCAAGTCAGTTGAGGGGTTTAATTTGCGGGTTCTGTATCCTGCTTGCCTGCCGGCCTTTATGCCGGTAGTCAGGCAGGCAGTCGAGTTCTTTGCCTGCGCGCTGCTCTCTCCGCCTAGTCAGGTTTACATCAAGTGGGGCAGCTGCGCATCTCCAGCCAGAACCCTTGGATGCCAACGATGGCATGCCCGGCGGGCCTGCAGCCACTCAAGAAGCAAGACTTTCGCCGCTCGGACTCACTTACTCCCCCATGCAAACCAGCAACAAAACAGCAGTGTACTGGCAGTGACATAGCCGGTGGGGAGGGAAACCCATCCACGTTGTGCTGTAGGCAGCCCTGCCTTACGAGCGCCTTCCTGCCGGGCTGGCTGGTGACTGGATTAATGGCGACACCTTCAAAGGATGCGCGCCCGATACCAGTAGTGTAGTAGTGTAGTGGTGGCATCCCGGTGGTGGCATGCCAGCGCCGTGCGGCTGGATCGGGCTAACGGACCATCCTCTCAGCCGCCCTTACGTACGTGCGTAGCATTACATTTAGCGTCCATTGGGTCGCCCCCAGTCGTTTTCCCATACTGGAGCTTTGTGTGTTGGTCTGGAGGCCAGAGGTCATCACGCCGAGTGGGTGGAAGCCGTAGGGCTCGAGGACGCAGGCCCAACCACATCTCCCCCCCCCGTGAGGACTCTGCAAAGACCACAAGCGGCAATGACCAGAGAAGTTCAGCATCAGCATAAGCAACAGGGAAGCAAAGGGGGGGGGGGGTAAACGCCCCGAACACGCGATGAGTCAGATCCAGATCCGTTACGCCGCCATGCATGTGCGGGAAGTGAAACATGTCAGTTTAGTTGCACAAAATACATTTACGAAGGCCGCGCACACGCGCAATGCATGGAGCCCATCTCGCCACGAGGCCGAGCTCGTTCCCTGCTACGTACAACTGCTGCTAAAGCCATGGCGCCCCAGCGTCCCCTCCTCCTCCTCCTTCCCTTCCTCCTTCTCTTCTCACCGCTCCACTCGTGCCATCACCGCCTCCGCACACCGGCGGCCCCGCCTCATCAGGGGCCACAGCGCCTTGTACTCCGCTGCACACAGCGCTGCCTGTCCTGCTGACGAGAGTGCTGGTGATGAAGCGGCGGCGGCAGCGATGGCGCTGCGGGCTTCAGCCCGTTGCAAGGCGCGAGCTGCGCCGCCAAAGTCCGCTAAAGCCTTCAGCACGTTAGCGAGCGGCACTGAGCGGCGACCAGAAGCTGCGCTCGCGGCTACGAAGGGCTGAGGCACGAGGCCAATGGCTCCGGTTCCCAGCTTGCCGCCGACACCCATGCCGATACCGCTGCTGCTGCCACCACCGACGGAAGCAGCGCCAGCACAGGGGGCGCGGACGGAGTTCTTGTCGGTGGCTTCTTCCAGTTCGCACCACGGCAGGCTGATTGAGAAACCCCCGCGAAGCAGCTTGGCCAGGCGGATGAGGTTGCAAGCGGCCTGTAGTGCGCCACCTGCGGAGTTGCACAGAAGGGAGGGATGGGCGTCAGAGCGCAGTTAGGAATGGCGTCGTAGCGGAAGACAGTTAACCCGGGTCGGAAGATTGGCGTTTCAGGCTGGGGACTTAGGGGTCTTCAGCGCAAGCCTTCATGCAGCGTTGTTAAGCGGTTTCCCAAACGAGAAGCCGCAATGTTAACACGCTGCGGCAATAAAATCGATAACCAGGAAGCCTCCTGGTTGATCATCGTGACAGTGCGGCATAGACAGTGTGGCATGGACAGTGAGGCATGAATCTAGCCACGCGCCACGCTGACCTTTCAGTAATGTACCATCTGGCTCGAAATAGGCGTCCGGCTCCGGCCGCGGTACCACCAAGGACGGCAGCGGCGGGGAGTTGGAGGACGTGTACGGCTCGGCAACATCGGTGGCGGCAGCGGCTGCCGCTGCGGCGGCGGACAGCAAGCGGTCAAGTGCCGGCAGCGCGAGCTCCGATGCAGTGCTCGGCTGCAGCCACTGTACCGCGGCATAGAAGACCGCATGTACGAAACACGACAAGATGGGCACAGAAGGGAACGAATGAGTGTCCATTATGGCATGACGTAAAACCTTATGAGGGCAACGCTGTAAATGTGTAGCCCTAAGAATGCCCCTCGATCGCCTAAAATGGTTTATGCATGGTTTATGTCTAAGAAGCTGCACGTGACACAGGGGCACCAGGCACCTGGCGACCAGGCGGCGCCCCGCGCACTCTTTTATACCGCAGGTGTGTGTTGCCCCGCCCGCCAGCGCGTCACCTACCCCGTGTGCTACACTGGACGACTGTTGGCCTTCCGAGGACCAAGATGATGGCAGCATGCTCGGCTCATTTAGCAGCTCCGAAGCCGGCTCGACAGCAGTCACTTCCCGCTCCTGCCGCTCCCCCGCCCGCTCCTCCTGCAGCTGCCACTCCTGTTCCCGTTTCTGTTGCTGTTCCTGCGGCTGTAGCTGCCACTCCTGCTGGTGCTGCTGCCCGTGTTCCGACTGCGGCTGCTGCTGCTGCGGCACCTCGGGTGCATAGACGTCCACATCCATGCCTCCGCACCACGCCTCGGGGCACTGCCTTGCATGGTACAGGTCCTGCTCCACTGTGCGGCAGGGCTCGGCGCACAGTTGCTCGTCCACGGCCGGCACCCATGCCGCCGCATCCGCCTGTAGCTGTTGCAGTGCTGCATGCGATGGGGCTAGTGCCCCGGGAGGCACTTGCTGCAAGCTGCTGTGGCCCAACGGTGACAGACGCAGGACTACATGAACGATCTGGCCCTTGGTTACACCGCCGGCAGCAGGGTTGCCAGCCGGCGGAATGGAAATGCCCCTGTATGTATGGGACCCCTTCGACAGCTCCATACCCACCATCTGGAACCCTACTAGCTGCTGCGCGGATGAAGGCACTGCGAGATCGCTGGAACTGGCTGTCAATGCCACTGGATGGCTGCCAGCCGCCCGGGTTGGTTGGTGCGACACCACCAGTGGCACTACCTTCTCACCGGGACTGCGAGGGGGTGTGGAGGGCGCTGAGGCATCCTCCAATGAGGGCGTCTCATGTGCGGGGTAGATTGTCTGTTCGCTACCAGTCAAGTGCATGCGCTGTGAGACCAGGGCGGTGGACAAGTGGGTCATTTCGACGCGAGGGGCTGAAGCTGGCGGCTGTTTCGTCGCGATAGACGACGGACTGGCGGGAAATGAAGCAGCCGATGCCGGTGCCGAGGTGCGGTTGACGGTGGGGCTGCTCGGAGCTGCGGTCACTGCTGCCGCGAATGACGACGAAGAGGAAGCGGCTGTTGTTGTCCTTGTTGTTGGCGGTGAAGACAATACAGAAGGCCCCGTGAGGATAGATGATGGCGGCGCGACGCGTGGCAGGGAGGCATCGGGGCAGTCAGGTGCAATGGAAGCACTCCTCTTGCGCTTGTGCTCCGTGTTGGGGCAGCAGCCAGTCACCACGACTGCACCAGTGACACTAGACGGGCCGCTACCGGGCACGCCGCTGACAACCGCAGGGCTGCAAATGGAGGGGCCCTTGCTGGTCACCACCCCGGTTGTAACGATCCCCGGGACGGTCGCAGCCCAAGCGCCGCCTCCAGCCCCAGTCGTGATGGTCTTCGCACTGGTACTCCACGGCATTGACGAGTTGCTGCCACCGCTAGTGTGTGCAGCGAATCCAGGCAGAGGGTAAATTTGGGCCCGGGTTTGTGCGTCACCGGAGATAGGTGGTGGCAAGGAGGCGGAAAATGACGGCATCCAGGTTCTGGTGGATATAGCTGGGGTGATGTCCGGCCGTCTGTAACTTGCCGCTTGCTGCTCACCAATCCGCGTCACGCCGAGCAGGTTTTGCAGCTGTTGCTGCCGCTGCAGGTTCTGCTGCCGGTGCTGTTGCTCTTCATAAACTTGGGGGCTACGCTCCGTTTGAGATCGAAGGCGTGCCAGCGCTGTGGCGGCATCCTGCTCCTGTCCTCCCGGTGGGCCAGGTGCTGAAACTGTGGTGCTGTACGAGAACTTGGAATACGTCCCCATTTCGCCACTGCTGTCTGGCTCTCGCTTTATCATGTGCTGCGGTGCCGTACTGGGTTGGCAGCTGTCGTTCGGAACAGCTGCCGTCTCGCAGGCCTGAAGCGCCGCGGGTGTGCCCAAGCGACGGCGTTTCTCCCGCACCTCACGTCGAGCTCGAGCTGTGTTGCGAGCAGGGTGGTCGCCGTACGCAACGCTAGACATCATCTGTAGCCCCGAGCACGATAGGGAGGGAGGATGGGCTGAGCAAATTCGATTTGCGGTCAGTGGAAAAGCGGATTGGCGGCACGAAACGCCCTCCTTAGGTAGTTGTGCGCACCAAGACCACCTGTCCTTATCACCATTCTGCATCCGCTGAAGCTTATGCAGGGCCGCAAAGCAAGGCATAAACTGCTTTATATCGAGAGCTGAATCGAGAGCTGAGTCGAGTCGCTAATAATTATCTTCGTATCGGCAAGAGGCCCAGTCTAGAGTAGGCAATTCGACAAATAGCACCGCGCCCAGCCAGCCCCTTAGGCTTGTATGCTCGCCATCCCGAAGGAAAGCCATGATAAAAAATACGCAGGCGTATTTTTCAATTCTACACGTTTGCGGAGGCTTGATGTTACATAGAAAGCCCCCAGTGATAGCGCGCGGCGTGTGCCAATGTTGCATGGGCCCGTTGATGATACCGTGGGCAGGAGTGATGCTGGGAACAGGACTCCACACCGCGTTACTTGTCACAAAACTCAGCAAACTAAGGATCGTGACGGTTCTCACCTCGCTTGAGCTCAGCGGCCAGAGGACAGTTGAAGTCTCTGCAGGCTTGCTCGTTTCTGTAGCATTAAACCGCAAACAAGGAGCCTGACTTCATTGCTGAAGTAGTAAGAACGTTTTTCAGCAGGGGTTCGACAAGCAAGGTAGATTATGCAACACCCACATTTATTATACATGTGCTTCAAAACAGGTGTGCACATATGGATAGAAATTTCGCTGGTTGCCTGTTGTGACTGCAATATGGAATAGTTGAACCCGAAACGGCGCATGGAGTGTCCATCCGGGATCGCTCTGACTGCACAGCGAAGGGCTTTATTTCGATGTATGACGGGATTGACTTGTGCAGCACATGGCACTGTTCATCATCCCTTTAGAAACATGCCGTTCTCGCGGAACCGACTCCCGCGCAACCGCATGCCGAGAACGTCGTGCGGTATAACGACGGCGTGAGAACATCTCTCTTCCATAAAAATAAAATATCGCTGAATATATTATACATTACAAAGCAACGTTGCTCCACCGGCTTCTCAGGCTGCGAACATTTGGATATCAATAATGCTTTTTAACGAAACAATATACTCTTTCCAAACCATGCTCGTAAAGCATAACCGATACATGTATTATAGAAAATAATGAGCCATACTAAAGAAAGCAACCAGTAGCAGCTTCCCAAACTACCCTAGCTTAACCAATTTCTGGGCACTTTGTTTTACAAAGAAAAGCAACACCATGAAGCTCAGAGAAATGGGTATTATTAACTGCGTTTGCCCCTTCCTAGGAAGGACAACAGCCCCAATCGGATTCAAGCGCCATCTTAAAATCTTCCCCATTCCCACAGTTTAACTCACTTTGGAATCTATGATGAAGCGGCCGATTGATCGAAAAGTTGAGGTTGTGTCCCAGCTCAAATGGTGTACGCCCAACAGCCACACCGTAGCTGAAAAATGGTGGTACTGATTGAGGAGCCATTGATAAATAACGTTTGTTAGCTCCTGTTTATAAGCTCCTGGATGAGCGGTGAGGCCACTGCACAGCAGATGAAACACAAAAGAAGTTTCATAGAGACGTTGCTCGGGCCGTCCTTGAAAATTACGTGCTTCACTGGCTACGCCACCATTCCTAAGTAGTTACCTAAAGATAATATATATGATGTAGCTGCAACGGTCCAAATGTCCGTGTTGGTAGCTGCTTCCTCTCTTATCATGCCATTGGTGCCGCCGGTCAGAGATGGATGATTGGGAGGGAGGTAAATATGCTCTATTATCCTAAGTAAGGCTTGATAATATCAGTTACGCGTAATACATGTCATGCGTTGGACAAAAGCCTTGCAACTGCAACTGATATGCCTTTCGTAAATTGTGAATATCAACTACTACGTAAACATTATGATAAAGGAGTAACGTTGGAAGCAGTAGATGTTGAACTATTGTGCTGTTATCCAGTATCACATGACACCGGTAGCTTGCAGCTTCGGATGTACTAGCTAAACCTGTAGCTGCGCGGCACTTGCCACGCGTGGGTGCGAAAATTTAGAGCCTCTTTACAGTTCCTCTCATATTAATCTTGAAATGCACTTCACGATATATTCGTTACGGCGATTGTTGTAGGCCATCAGTTCTCGCATACACAGTTCAGCTTCCTGGGCGGTGCGGGTATCTCGTACACGACGCATGCATGTCATCATATCGTGGTAGCAGACTCCTTTATCTCGTTGCCTCAGATGCTTTTCCCTGCGCATTCTTTGCGCCTCGCTTGGCGATTGACACTTCCATTGCTTCGCCTCAGATGTTGCGCAACGGTCTCAGGGTGTGGGTGTGGGTGTGTAGCAGTCACTTAAGATGCCGGACTAGCGCCCCCGGCGGTTGTCCCGAAGCCAAGAAAGCTTTTTTACAAATACAGCATCCCTTGGTGGCGCAGCTAATACCCCTTGATAAACTGCACAGCGTGTGTGACTCTTTCTGCAGGGTGGTGTCTGCTAGCGTTCTACGTATCACCTGACCTTGAAACGGCGACCAGTAGTACGCTGACAGGACGCATCCAAGCATTACGATAGCATAGTCCTTAGGCGGGGGCCATCAGATTATGAAGGCTTGTGTTCTTAATCCATATGGCTACATCCGCACGAAGCAGTGTATGTGCAACGTGCAACTCGCCGGGGGGTTTGCATACACCGTCTCGGCGGCGTCAACACCCAGCATGGCTAGGTTGCTTGTACGGGTATACCACGTGGCACTGCGTGTATCACCACCGGCATCTCGCGCGGGGGCCGGCAATTGATAAGGCTTATGATGATCTGATAGGCAAGCCCTTAGCTTCTACTACGTACTTCCTGCAGGGTGGTGAATACAACCCCGACATACAGGCACGTACGCATGTAGACACACGTACAGGCACACACATACAGACACACACATAGAGACAGACACATACAGACAACACATACAGACAAACACATACAGATACATATTGCCCTTGGGTTTTCGGCTTGTATGGTAGTTTTATGGGTATGGGGTGACGCAAACCCAACCATGTAACACACACGCACATATACAGACACGCCAGGCCCGGTCAGATACTTGTAACCTTCACACAAACAACACACTTCCCACGCTTTGAGCATATGAAGGACGCTGTGAAGTGGGAACCTTAGCGTCTGGAGGAGATGTTGGAACGTATGTGGTCCCACCGCAACTCTATCATTCCCTTTGATCGTTAGTCTCCTTTATCACTTGCTTTGTCTGAAGTGCGAGGTAGGATGGTGCTTATAGGCGATCTGACAGCCCTTGAGACCTCGGCTCATATTGCGCGGTTTGCTGGTACGGGGTACGCACCCCCACGACCATGTAACACACACAAACACAGACACAGACATACACACAGACGCACACACAGTCATACAAAAAGGGGAAAACGCGGGTTGCACGCCCTCAGTCCAGGAGGGCAGGAGGGGATAGAGGCCCCTCACGCCCCTCTTCCCCCACAAGGGAGGGAAGTGCTTCGGCGGTCGTTTCCGTTGGGGTACGTTTAGGTGTCCCTGGCCAATGTCAGGCCCGGATCGATATGTAAAAAATACACACAGGCAATGCACACAGGACAATAACAGACGGTGGCTGGTCAGAAGCATGGAAAGGGCGCGCGTGGCTGTGTAGTTGCAACCGAAACATGGCTGTTCATTGCCAACGACACCTCGTAAGCAATGTATACATGCCGGCCCGAAACAACAACAACAACAACAATAATAATAATAATAATAATAATAATAATAATAGTAATAATAATAATAGTAATAATAGTAGTAGTAGTAATAATAATAATAATAATAATAATAATAATAATAATAATAATAATACCCACGCTTACGCAGCAATTCAGATCCGGCGCTGCTATTACACCCGTGTATCCGAGCAGCTCGCAGCTCGCAGCAGCTAATGCATGACCGCGTGCACTCCGTCTTCGTAACTGTCTTCTATGCATAGTAACAAGAAGTAACGGAAGTTGAAGTTTACGCAAGCCGGGTTGTGCACTGACGATCGTGGTGGAAATGAAGCAAAACCCCTCCGCATGCTCATCTCTTATCTTTGACACATGAAGTGGGCCCATGGCTACTACATACACTAAGCTTTATGCCAACCAGATGTAGCAACCTACTGCATGTCCGTCCGTATGTGTATACCTAAAAGATTCTTGCAACATGGTCTACTACTGGAGGTAAAGGGTGAAGCCCCCGCCTGCTGCTGGTTGCTGTTGTTCAGATACGCACGGTATAAGTAAGCGAGGCCCATGAGCAATCCCATGAGCAAACCCATGATCAATCCGATTAATGGGCTCAGTGATATTGGCAGCGTGGCCATCGGATTAGATTGATCGCCCAGTTGTGCCATGATAAGCTGAACCCCTTAAAAACGATTTCGCGGATGGTCATGGGTTAATGTACAGGACCGTACATGACGCTGCATAATAAATACATCCTGCACACACCGAATTGAACCCGTCGTCGCAGCTACCTGAATTACAAGTGGAAGATTCCTAACGAATGGTGTGAATAGCTGTGGATAAAATCTCTCGGTAGCTGCAGAGTCAGTCAGTTTTATTTGCACCTTCCCAGAAGCCGCACCTCGGCTTTACTCCAGTCATGACGCATGGCCTCTGCAGTTTCTGTACTTTTGGCGGCCTTGCCAATATTAGATTCATATTTTCCATGTGAAAAAAAGATATATAAGCAGAGGGATGAAGAATGGCCTGGCACTGTTGCGCGCTGCACGTCCGTGGGGGGTCGCCCGAAGTCGAAAAAAATCGTTTAGTCGTGACACCGGCGCTGGTTTCGGCGTTTCATCTTCTCTTTAAGCATTGGTACTAATACTGATCCGCAGCTGCGCGGGCGGCTCTATTCTTTTATGTTTCTACACACGGAAATTTTCTGGCTCCTCAAACAGCAACAATCCGATCTACATATGTAACGCCCGACTGAAATGCCGAATGAAGCAAGTCGGGGCTCATTTTCTGTCCCAGGGATTTTGCTCAACTGTCACCAGGAGTTATAAAAGTCCTGAGTTTATTATCTACCTGAAGCCCGAGCAAGTGTAGGATGCTCCGAAGCGGCGCAGGAAAAGGGGGCGCTGCCGCCACGCGCCGCGGCGGGTCTGTTCGTTTACAACAATGGCGGTCGACTTCGCTTAAAAGCACTTCAAGCTGCTATATATGGGTTGCACAAGCAAGCTGTCACAATGTGTAATAAGAATTATGCATGAGAAGACTTCCAATATACCAATGTGGAAATAACATTCAATCTCCTACGGTTTTATTTCAGCTCACTCCGCCGGTGCCAACGCTGGTGGCAGCGGCTGGGTATGGAGCCGCACAGAAGTATCTGCCGGGAATTTGTTTGTTACAAATTACTCGCAGTAGCAAGCGTGGCAGATGAATGGTGTAGCTGGCTCCCGGCTAATCGGGCCATCGAAACAGCCGATTACGAAAAAGACCAGGTAGACCACACAGGCAAGTTTACCAATGCCAGCGTGATAACTTTGTATTATAAGCAATTCTATATGATATGGCATCTAGGGTCCAAGTTTGAACATCAAACTTGAAACAAAGGTCTGGGCGGGACAGATGCGTACGCAGCGACTTTGCCACTCTTTCCCGCGCCGTCAGTCACCGTTCCTACTTCGCCCAGTCTCGGCACCTCTAGAATGTGGATTTGACTCGATAGCAGTCCAGCGAGCGAAGGGTAGGCGTTACATTAGTGTGCCTTATGAAATAATGTAATCGTTCTTTCCGGTCCGCAGAAAGATATGTTAGGTACGCAGCCAGGTAGCTAGGCAAGCAGACGGACATCATCGACCCCAGGGAACCCCCCCAGGTCACTGCGCCACTTAGAGGTAACCATCAAAGCTGCACCTCGTTGATGTCTCACGTGAACTTCGGGCGTGAAGATTTCGTGCTGATAGTGTATGGCTGATAGTGTATGGCTTCCCGCCGTCTGCCGCATGCATTACCTGCGACCCAAAGAATAATAGACATTATTTTCAAATCCAAGGCAGCGTTGAAATGGAGATGAGGAAACAACATAGCAACCGTCCCAATTCGCTGCATGTCGACGAGCGACATGCTGCAGCCCGCACAAGGACACACGCACGCGACGGTTTAAGAATCTTCGCTCGACTGATCCTGACTTCTTGCAACAGCCGTATGTTAATGGCCACTCTACGTTTTTTCATCTGCGTGAAAAGAAGTTTCCAAATCACGACGCTGTGTTGCATGGTTACGCGTGCCTGAAGTATTGGGAGTCAAGGGATGTGTAGGGATGCATGAACAACTATAAACACGGGCCTCCTTAGTTTACTACCTCACAACGATATCTTTAAGCTTGATATTCTCGGTGGATTATTGCGCCACTGCGTTGTCCGTCTCGTTTTTGCCGCGCTACAGGCGATCTGTCTGGCCACTTCGCGTGGGACGGCAAGGACTGGATCCTAAGTACTTGTTACAGGATTTAGATAGATTACGTACAATTAAACGCGTTGATTTGATGACAAAACGGTAAATTGCGCCTGCGTTTGGAGGGTGGTTCAGGTGACCAAACGGCGGGCAGCCAGTGGCGGCTGCGGTCCATAGTCACGCAACGTCGTCAAGCAAGCCGAAAACCAGTTGCAAGCTCACGACAGAACCCTGGACATGCGTTAGCATTACAATCCTTGCGATGTTTAGGAATTTTGCTATGATAAAGATCCTTTTCCTCAGGGATTTAGCAAAATTACCTCCAGCTCTGTACGTGCATAGCATGTGTTTGGCCGATATTCGGGTGGCCCTGAAGCTGCCGCGAGCTTGATCCAGTTGCATGGTGCATAATATATAGCGGCGGGCGCTTGCCATAAGGTGGCTTGCTACGGACTGCCTCAAGGTGAGCCCGCAACAGGGTGTCCACAGGCCAGAAGCAAGGGTAATGCACCCAGCATGGTGCTTAAAGCGTGCGCATGCAGCACCGCGCAAAGTTACAAGTCGATTAGCCAATTCCGGCAGCTGGGCATGCGTCCAAGGCATGCGTGAGGTCATGCAGTAGTGTCGAGCTTGCACCTCCGTATAGTGTTGAGACTATTCGCATCAACTTCGTCAGCTTCGAGGAACGTGACAGAAGCTGAGACGTTTTTTGGCCCAACTTCGTTCTTCACGATCAACGATGTTGGCGATCTGTCGACATTGCGCACACGGTCGCCTGGACAACTGGGCGATGCTTCAGAACTGGACGATGTCGCAGGGCCATGCACGCCGCCGTCAATCGCCGCAATGACAAGAGCGGAAACCGACACCGCGCTCTAGCTGCATAATGCTCGACGCCACTTATCTGGCACGCATACATGTGTGTTGTGGTCGTAGCCTGCCTTAGCAAGGAATTAAAGTATTTACTTTTCCCAGTCATTTAGACGCCAGTTTCCTGAATAGGTCTTAAAGCAATAACCGCGTCAATCTTTAAAACGCGCTCCGTCTGCCGCTCCCCTTCTACTGTCGTCGCCCTTCGAGGCAAAATCATCTGGCCTGATTAGGCGATATGTCTGGGTACCCATAATTGTCGCCTGCTGTGTAGATAGCACTGGTTGGAAGCAAGGCAGTCGCCGCAAGTTTAAAATAATGTACAACCACCACCCCTTGGAGATCAGCAAGGGAGATTGGCAAGTGGGTTAAAAGACCATAAAAACATAAATCTTTAAGCTAAACTCAGTGCGTGTGTGGCATGGTGCGTGTGTGGCATGGTGCGTGTGTGGCATGGTGCGCGGTGCGCGGTGTTTTGAAGTAGCCCGTGCAAGAAGCACGTGCTGCACTTGGCATGCCCTGAAAGTAATCCTTCGGCGTATGCGTCTGCGGCCGCGCAACCATGGGTGATCTAACACGCGTCCCAGGCGGAGGGTAACGAAGCCGTAAGAACCCAGCAGCCCATCGGTGCGTGGGACAGGGTCGCTTTGGCGGTGCGACCAAGCTCGATACTGGTGGCGGCCAAGACATCGCATACAGAGCCTCTCGAACTTCTGGGTGAGCTGTATGTATCGCTGTTCAAGGTGTGGATTCTCGTCTTAAGGGAGCCAGCACGTCTGGCGACGTGGATGTTGGAGCATATGTGGGCTTTCGGCAACTCAATTATCCCTTGACCCGGCGGGGGTCCGGCGCTTTGCTGATTTTAACATTCGGCGCTAGCCTGGGCTGATAGTGCAGTGTTTCCTTCTTTTAGGTGTTTAGGTATTGCCCTTGGGCCTTCGGCTCGTATGGTGTAGTTCTACAGGTATGAGGTCACGCACCTCCAACCACTACTATTAAGCCCGATACTGCAGTTGCGTTGACGGTGGGAGCTACATTTGTCTCAAAGCTGATTCGTATGGAAGTGTATGGGCTGAGATGTAATGGTCGAGTGCAAGCTATTACCACATGGAGGCTCGGGATCGGGTCGGGCTCAGCGAGTTTAAGGTTGCTGTTCATCAATTTATAAAAGGAAGCTAAAAAAATTCGGCTGAAATCGGACTTGGAGGCACTCTTTAACCTTCAAAGATCTCAGCAACGCTGTGTTTGTGATGCCAGGGACAAAGAGAATGCGATTGTTACAGTGGACCCCGAACGGGTCGAGTGCAGCGCCCTCTAGGAACGCCTCCCGCACAACACTGTGGTCCTATTTCAAAAAGAACTCGGTCAGGCCGTACTAACTTCACGGGACACAAGACCTCAGTTACGTTAGTACGCTCATACAGAAGGCATGAGGCTCCGACGTGAGCCCTCAGACCCCATCATTGTACATCGGTAAACGGCAAACAACCTTGCCTGCGTCGTTGACATATAAGAAAGGGTAGTTGTGAGGCACGGAGAGCATACGACCATATGGTTACGTACACGAGCTGTACAGCTCTTTCACTTGTCACGAAATGTGTGTGTGGTTGTTACAGTGGGCTCCAGACTCCCGAAGAGTAGAGCCATCGGGCCAGCTGGCCGTGCACTGCAGTAGAGACTAATATACCAAAAGATTATCATCTCAGATAATTAACCTCTCATCGGTAACCGCTCTCGCGAACAAATCAATTTGCCAGATATAATCCTCAAAAAGGGGTGATGTGCGCCAACGGATTCCCAACCTTTTCGTGGAATTCCTAAAGCTGCGAAACCCTGAATGCGGCCCCAAAAATCAACAATAACTCGACAAATTGCTTCTTCCGTAAGGGAAGGACCAGGTAACAGTGCCGGGTTGGTTTTCATGTTTGCAGCCATATAACGTCTCCCATGCTCCATGGCTGACACCGCAGCAAGAGCCACAACATCCCAAACACATTGTTGCACTGATTGTGGGGCTTGGATAAGCCAAAGTTGCTCCCTTGAGACTGGCAATCCTATTGAAAGAGTAAGTTGGTCTGCTATTGCCTGTGCCACCGGACAGGCCCAGAAATGATGATAGCGAGGGGATACACCTCCCACTGAACCTATTGGATAACCTCCACAACCACATATCGTTGGGCGCGACATCCTAAGATGGGA